AAGAATGCTTGAATAAAAGAGGTCTTTTGGCACAGAATTTTCACAGAATCTAAACATTCTGTCTCTTCAGGAATATCTTCCTGCCCACCCCCATTCCTCCTTGAAATCTGATTAGCCATGTAGGATTCCTGATTAGCAAAACAGAATTCTCCCTTGTTCCCCTCAAGAGCAGAACTGGGACATGTTAGAAAACCCACTCCCTTTTCTTACCTAGAGGGGGATACAACTACTTTCAGAGTTTTCTTTTTTGCCTTCTGTTTGGGAGCAGGGAAGACCTCCCCTGCTGTTAAAGTGGAATTACAGGCCTCTGAGCAGCGAAAACAGTGATTTTTTTTTTTTTTGATGCTGCTCTCCACCTTCATAAGCAATGCTATAACCAGCAATGGAACTCCTTATGCACAAGACTGTTTTGACGAGGGTGAGAAAGGGGATCCACTTTTTCAGTTATAGCTCAAACCCAACAGCACACTGAATGATACAGCTGTATCTGCTCACAGTACTTCAACTTTTAAAACTGCTGACATTAAAGACAGCAACTGTTCTACTGCAACTCACTGAAGCATCAGCAAAATGCAGCTTCCTTGGGTTAGTTCCAAATCTAGGAAGTTAGAATAAGCCTAGGCAACATTCCTTGAAGAAAGAGGATTTTATCTATTATATTACTGGTGCCACTGTAAATCAAATTCATAATATCTGTGCCTTTAATAGGAAGGGGGCATGTACATGTAAAATGCTGGCAGTTTGTGTTGAATCCATAAAGAATCAGTTCTGGACTTAATATGTTACGTCCCAGGAAGCATTGCTATTCCTGTTACCACTCTTTTTTCTTCTCATCCATGGAGACTCCACCAGGACCCAGTGCAACCACAAGGAGGAGGCCTCCAATGACAGACATGGTCTGGAAGAAATCATATTTGAGGAAGTCGTGCATGGGCTTGTAGGTTGGGACGGTCCAGAAGGCATTGAAGTAGATGTTGATGCCAAAGAGCCAGATGACTAGAGTCAAGGCAGCCAGCTTAGTCTTGAAGCCAATTGCCACCAAGATAATCAGGGCTGTGCCCACAATATTCTGCAGAATCTGCAAGACAAAAAAAAAAAACCCCACAAGCTTACATACAGTTCTTAAATCGATACACTCTGTTCTGATGTTTGTGTAAGTTGAGCAGAACAGGTTATCATGGCATAGATGATCTAGCTTTTTCAAAGTACTGATTCTACTAAAAATAGTTTTAAATAAGCCTGGAGCAGGTCCTGCAGCCAATCTGGGAGTTGGCACTATATTCTAGTTCCTTAACTCATACATCTGTACTCAGATACTCACATAAAAGAAGTTCATATCAAAATGTAGCAGCGTCATGAACATGAGGACCAGCAGCACGCGGCCCCCCAGCTGCATGTACTGCTTAGGAGAGCTTTCCCGCATGGTAGGGACACCAGCAAACATGCTCTTCCCCTCTGAGCGCGACTCGGCCAAAAGCAGCAGCAAGCCTCCCCCAAGGGCGAGGTTCCTACAGAAAGACAGAAACGAGTGGGGGGGAAGGCAGTTTATTACAGTTTGCACTGATCTGTAAAGTCTTATCTGACAACTTTAACTCAGTAAGAATCCACATGCCAGCAAGGAGTGACCTACTCTGCACCTTGTAATGCAGGTCTGTGTTACATTTCAGAGCTAAAAGAGCAGTGTTGTACACAACCATTTACACAAGCCTGTGTAGACATGTACAGCCCGTCAGGGAAGTGCAGCACCTTCAGCTCAGGCACAGCTGCTCAGCATCTGTTACAGCATGAATTTAGCTCTGTCAAAGTTATTCTGTACCTCAGGTTTATCTACACACGCCAAAGTAGTTCAGAGGTTGCTTTGAGAAAATAGACCAACAGTACTGCTACAAAGTTACACATTTACAGGGTTGTAGTAAGCCCAGAGTATATATGCGACCTCCTACCCTCCTCTCCTCAGAGGGGTGAAAAGGTAATAGCTGGCCATCACTCAGGATTTGGCAAGAAAGCCCACGTTTAAGAGCCCTGTCTTCTACTTGAGAAGGTGTTAAAAGATTTAAAATCCCAGAAACCCCTCTATTTATCTAAATGCTTTAGTCTTCTCAGAAAATGTCTTCAGTCACACATAAGTACAGTTGCTATTTTAGCCATTTTGGAAATAGCAGCAGCTCACTGATCCAGTCTAGACAGTCGTTTGGGAGCTCTCAGCAAGGAGGTCAGTACAGAAGCACTTAGATCTTAGTGCATTAGGATTAGCCTTTCCCTTCTACAGTACTGAGCCTGCTTAACACAGACTCTACTGATTTTTTTAAGTGCTGTCACTTCTTGTTTAATGTAAACACATCATTTGTAAAATCTTCCTAGTAAATACAACATTCATGGATCATTTCCTCCATCAGCATACGGGACTGACGGACAACAGTTTTCATTCTGTTTCGATAAAAAACTTAAAGCAGGCATACCTCATCAAGAACTTCAGGTCCCATAGAATGCTGTATGCAATAGTCTAGGTAAAGAATAAAACAGGTTAAAACACCACAAAAGTTACACTGAAGTTCTGAGCTTGTTACAGCCTCAAGCCTGTACTGTCCAGAGCACAAGTATGTTACACTGAACAAGTATGTTACACTGAAGGAAACAAGGGAGGTTACATCAGTGTGGTCCAGTCAGTGTAAAACAGGGAACAGAAGCCAGAATTTGACTTGTGCTTTAGCCCTCACAAAATTCATTGACTGTGAACAGACAGGATGCTACTAGCTAGGATCCTTTGGGATGGGACAGTCCTTTATAAAAGCAGCGTGCTAAAGGCCAAAGCAACTGCAAGTTCCACATTTGGCTCATTACTGACATGCAAGTAAATCGCAAATTAATTCTGCTAAATTGGTCAAGGTCAAGTACTGTATCAACATCTCCAGCTGACTAATTGCAATTACAACCAAGGATCTATCAGGAACATCTGAAGAACAGAAGCAGCAAAATAGTTCAATGCCACCAAGGACTGGCACTAGGCCAGGGTGAAGAAAAATTCCAGGGTTGCAAGTTATATTTTTAAATGTTGGTAGTACTGGGGCTAACAGAGAAGATTCGAAAGACATGGTTTAGAAGGGCTGAAGACTTAAGCCTCCTACCTGTAATGCTATAATTCCAAACAGTCCAATGCAGGCATATTGCACAAAGTTCCTACTCAGCACCAGGATACAGCCACCTGAGTTGGGGAAATTGAACACAGTTACACTTCTGGCTTGCACAGGAAAAGATGCTGCAGGAACACTAACTGAGCAGACTCCAACTTCTCACCTGTGCCACAGAGAACACCAGGCAGGAAATTTTAACAGCACATTGGCACAAATCAGTTTGAGAACCTAGAATTTTTAGCACATTTAGAAATATTTTTAATTCCAGAAGTATCTCTTATTTTACAAAGGGTATGCACGTGCTGAATGCAGTCTCAAAACAAGGCAGTGCATAGCAGCTATCAGCGTAAAAGCATTAAAAGAAGTTGAAAAGAAACTTAACTCATCATGGATTTTTTTTTTTCCTCCAAATGAGAGCTGTGAGGGCAAACATGCTGCACTCTCTTTTCTTGACAGCTTTTGTTTTATATCCTTCTGTCACAAAGCACTGACAGCCTTCGCCACTTTTGACATGAGGACTGGCAACTACATTCAGTTAAGCTGACTCTCTACACCAAAATATGAGGGGAAAGAGAACCCAGACGCAAGATAAGAAATTGGCAGAGCAGTGAAGAATGATACACGGGTCACATAATATGAACAGTAGTACTATCACTTCTAAGCTGTCAATGGTGATCAAGGTATCAGTGAGGAGTCTCATGCTTACATGACCTGCAGTGCCAGGGTGGCAGACACACTGCAGTGCTCTGGCATCCACCTTAACAGCCTTAGAGCCACTTACTGAGCTGTCCGAAGAGATTTATGAACACAAAGACGGAGGCCAGGAAATAGCCACAGTTCCACGTGCCATCAATGTAATCCCTCTGTTCGCTCCACTGGAACCACATGCGGATGCCATCCTCCAGGAAGGTGCTGATCAGGCACAGGCGGGCCACGTGCGGCAGGTACTGCTTCGTCACCCTCAGGAACTGCACAGGTAGGAAGCATCATTAGCAGGGAAGGAAGGCAAGGTGATACTAAAGGCATAACAGATCCATGTCCTTTGCAGACTCTGAGGTCAGCAGATCTTACACACGCAAGGTCAGCAACATCAGGAGAGAAACACATACTTGGGATTTAGTGAAATTCTTTTCCACTCCAGTTTGAGAGCACTAGGGAGCAGTGGGGGAAACCCCACCCACAGTGCTTTCTGGACAAGGACTTGGAGAAAAGCAGAATCCAGCAGCACCTTCTAAGGAAGAAGAACAGGGTTTTGATGGAGTTCTCACCAGACAGAGTCTGACCTTGGTTTTAGTTTGTCTATCTCTGGGTTTCATGTTACAGCTCAACTATCAGATAGCCAGGAGCTGAAAGGGCAATCCCGCTCCCACCCACATGCTCTGGCACTCAACACCCTTTAACACACTGCTTCAGGGAGTCAGGCTGACAAAAGACTAATTCTGTACAAAATAAAAAAAACATTAATAAGCTTTCTGGCAAGCTAGTTCCCTCTAACAGCTTAGAAGAGTGCAAAGCACGTGTATTTGTGTAGCATCAGCAACTACTAGATCAGCATCGCTGTTGCATGAAATTGCACCCTCTATCCTCTATGCAAGTATACACAGTTACTACTTCCATTAAAAATAACATCCTCAGCAGAAAGAAAACAGGCATTTATATACACTATTCAGTGTAGCAGTTAAAAGGAAATTACATCATCATGCAACAGATGCTGAGCCTTGGGAGTTCCTGGGAATACTGGTCCCATATAGCCCTTCATCCTGCAACATCACCAGTTAGTTTGCTTTACAATTAAAATAATTACAAGAATTAATTATAAAGAATTGCCAAACAAGGTCCAGCCTACAGAACTGAGTACTGCTTTTGGATTATGACAAGTGCTTAACTGTCACCCAGTTTCCTAATCAACACTGGTTCTTACTTAATGGAGACTTCCACTAGGATTTGCATTGTCACTCTGAAGGCAGGCCAGCGCCTGGCCGGCCTGTTTCACACACAGGTTTAGCTTTGCCAGATGACTTGAAGGACACATCTGCAGTTGGTATGTGCTGCTGTTTGTGTAAATGTAATCAAGTAAAAAAAAAAAAAAGTAAGTTCCATCTAAAACTAACTACAAGATCATCCAGCAGGTTTCTACCTTCAGATCACAGACGCGGCTTGGGCAGGTTGACACTTGTGAAAGTACATGCCCACGCCACGGAACCGTCAGACTCCACACAGATCCCCACACCAGGGCTAGGAGGAGCCTTTTAACAAACCCCATCACCCCACACAGTTTGATGGGTTCTAAGGCACATTGATTCACACGCTTAATGCAACACTAGAATACTTAAAGCATGAAAAGGGGTGGGGAAATCCACACATGTATAGGTATCTTGCAGACAGCACTAGACTACATCATAAAAAGTGAACAGAAAAGGCACACAAACATTTTCTTTCGTAATTCAGTATTTACATTGACTTCAGGTTAGACAATAGAGGCGACTCGTTTACTTCCAAGCAGAATCTTTTTTTTTTAGTATGGAGAAAAGAGACTAAATCCATTCCCAAAAGCTCTTCTTGCCACAGTAATCACTAAATACTAAAAGCTGTTCCAAATCCTATGCAAATGAAAAGCCTTGCTTACTGTGGAGCTGAAGATTTTCACGAGGAAGAATATCCAAACACGCTTAATAGTTCATTAAACAGTTAATATTGGAACAAACTACACTAGCTGTACTGCATGCATCCAGAGTCTAAGGGTCAAGCTTCAGGTTAATCAAGTGCATTTTAAGTGCAGCTGTACTCTGACTCAAAGCTGCCACTTCAGGCTTTTTTAAGCCATGTCAACAGTTGGATGAATGAGTCAGAAGAAAATTTGTGATCTTTGTCACTGAATGAGACACACATCTTGGTTTACAGCTTTCTTCTTTCCCAGACTTCACCACGCATTTGAGCTAACTTGCTGAAGAATACTAAAGTTATTTCAGAAATAAATAGTGCAAAACCAAAAAAAGTGGTTTGTAAAGCAAGTTTGCCTTGTCAAGACACAAAACAGGCAACTTTGTTCTAGAATGAAATAGAAGAGGACAAATGCTGGGCATCTGTAGGAAAAGGAAAAAACATTGCTGTGGAAAGACTGAAAAAAACCCAGCAGACACTAGAGCCAGTATCTGCCTCCAGGCCTCATCTTTGTTACTTCTCAAGTGGGTCACATGAGGTAACCTCATCTTCCTTTCCCCAGAAAGGAAACAACTGCCAACAGTCCAGGTGAAGGAACCAAGAAGACATTCAACATTTACCTGTTCTCACAGCATACAGAGGGAATTTAACACTATTAAACATTAGTGTGCACACCCAATCAGCTGAAGACGAGTCAGAAAGACAGAAGCCTAAGGCAGCTGCAGTGCTAAGTAACCTTCTGACACACACAATGTTTGGACATCCCTAACTCATGTAGCTGCATTTACTGCACTACACAAGTTGAAAACCTCCACACACAGCAAGCTTAAAGTAAATAAGCTTCATAAACCAACTGTACGAACAAAAATCCAAGCCAAAAGAAGAACCAACCATGGGGATCCAGAGTGAAAGGAAGAGAACAACTACATGGTGACAAGTGAGCATAGCAGATATCAAGTGATTTTACAATTAGAGGATTCAGTTAAATTACTTCAGTGACTTATACCTAAGGACAGAGTTACCTGTAAGAAATGGGAGGTCTCTAGAAGTAGGATTCAATAATGCCCTGGTTTTGTCCCTACACATCAGCATCAACACAGGGCTCAAACGCAGCACCCTGAGACCACTTCCTGCTTCCTTTATGATTCACGCAGATAAAAGCTGCATATATGGGGAAACTTGGCAGCTGCAGTTAATAACCATACCTGATCAAGACACAGGACTTGAAACACACACTCCACTAAGCACAGTGCATGGAAGCAAAACCACAACTCTTCAGACTGATGAAGGTGACAGTGTTAAATTCTAGGCATCAAGCACCTGGATGGCTTATTCTGCTACAGCCTTTGCATCAACTGTTCTTAGCATATACTGTCTCCTTTGAAGGGGCAAAACATCTTGAGAAGAGACAACAAAATGCTAAAGTAAGAGCATTTTAAAGAAGAACAGCTGCTTCTGTGTTGGCAGCCAAGTCACTAACACACACCAGAAGGGCCTTCTGTGCCACTTCCCTCTCTAGCAGGATTAGAAAGGCAAAGATAGACTTAAATGCTCCTCTCAGTTTAACAAGCAAAGACGCACAATTGGATCCAGGGGTCCCTAAATAAAAAAACTGCTCAAAAACCATTTTTCAAAGTGAGGCTTGACATTTTCAAACCCATAAAGAGGCCTGCTCAAAGAGAGAAGTTATTTTGGTTTGACTCTTACTGAACTTTCTAAACTACATCCCGCATCCAAGAGTCTCAAATTTCTTACAAATCCGGTCTATTTTATTAGAAGTGTACCTACCATAGCATAATTAGAGGTCTTTTAAGACCAATACACAGCCAGGAGTTGGGAATTTTTGCTGTCACCTTTCTCTGTCCAAACAGAGAAGCCTTTTCCGCATGTGTACACGTGTGCGTTCATGGTGATGAACAGCAGTCTGCTCATCTATGCGGAGAGCCCTCCTGTGGGCTGCACAGCACTAGTAGTCTAGAGCTTCTGATAAAGGCATATTTGAAATATCCAGCTTTTATTCATTTAAGCAATTGCTTTGTTCTGGGAGGACAGAAACCTCTAGCAGCCTGAGACACGAGTGATCTTTTCTGGAATAGAATGCTCAATCCTCTGGGAGAGGGAAAAAAGTCAAAGAAACCAAAACAAAGTAAACCACCAAAAAAAAACTTCCTTCCACCAATCTGTATATATCCACTTAAAGAGATTCCACCTAATAATCGCAAGGACACTAAACACCCATCAACATTGGGCTAATCAACGTCTGCAAGTTACACACAAACGGGGAGCTGAGGCTTTCCCAGGCCAAGAGAGAGCTCTGACCTAACAGAACACTGCCAGCAGTCTTACTCAGGTTTTTAACTGCAGGAAAATTTCTAACGACTATGCTTTTCACTCCTTTAGTGTTCTTTTCCAAAAAGCTGTTTGTTAATCAAATCTTTAAAATGAGATTTACTAGTCATGTTCTGCATTTTGCTATCTCTCTTCATGGAAAGATTCTTTCCCAGTCTAACCAGAATAGGCTATTTGGCTTACGATAAGGGATCAGTGCACTGCAACCCAGAGTTTCCAAATTTTTTTTTAATATAAACCACAGAGAAAGTTTACACTAACAATTAAGTGTCTTCTTCTCCCTTCTGTTTTCTGCAAAATAGGATACAGAGACGTTAGAATTAGTTCAACAACATGCATCAGCATTTATGTTGGAAAATTAAATAAATCCCCCAGACTCTGGTTCTCCCTTCAGAGTCCTTTCACTGCAGTACAATGACTCAATAGTCTCCTTGCATTTTTGTCCATATTTTTTTCAGAACAGCAGAAATACCAGGCACTCGCATTCCTAAAGATTATTACAGACACCAGAAAAGTTGATTGAGATCTGCTTCCTCCTACGGTGACTACAGTTCTATAACCCTAAATGATCAGTACAGTCCTCAGCTCCAGCTATTTTCAGTATAGTGTCAGCAATGAAGGGTCTAGCATATAACATTTTAACAAGAAACACTAAAAGAGGGCTTAACTTCAGGTGATACAAATTATTTCATTAATAACATCAGGCTGGTGTTAGGGGGCTTAAAAACAAGCCAACCCATAAAGCCTGTAGCTGGGTAGCACTCTGAACCAAGATCCCAATTTCCTTGCACAGTGTATTACCTTATTTTTAAGAATCCATACTAGCTTCTCTCAACCTTCCCAAATACCTATTAAGTTGCCTTCTTCAAAATCAAAAGGACCAGCCCCCAACACTCACCTAGTAGCTGTCTCCTCCGCTGCAGCCCTTGGGAACTGCCAACAGCGCAGAGAACAG